AAATAAAATGTCATGAAATTGATTGCGATGATGACTGTGAGACTCTTCTTAATATGGCTGATTAAAATCATATTAGGTGAATTTTAAGCAAATGAACTTTTTTTTAAGTATAAACGCAATCATACAAGACATTTTAATTGGGTTTATGTTCTGTAAGGCAGAGATACAAAAAAGTGAGTGTCGAATTTTGCTTGGGTCAGCCAGGTAAGGCTTCCAGAAGGGCCTACTGAGTCTTAAGAGATCTGTAGTAGATCCTCGGATGGATGAAGGTCGGAAAGGTGGTGAACCAAGCAGGGAGCATGGCCCATGTCACTGGAAGTAATTCACAGGTGGTAGTATAAAATGAGAAATGAGGCACAAGTATTACAGAGATCAAACAGAATTCTTTTTTTAATCATTTTATTGGGGCTCATACAACTTTTACCACAATCCATACATAAACCCATGGTGTCAAGCACATTTGTACATTTGTTGCCCTCATCATTCTCAAAACATTTGCTTTCTGCTTGAGCCCTTGGGATCAGCTCCTCATATTTTTCACCTCCCTCCCCGCCCCCACTCCCTCACGAACCCTTGATAATTTCTAAATTATTATTTTGTCATGCCTTACACTGTCCAACATCTCCCTTCACCCACTTTTCTGTTGTCCATCCCCCAGGGAGGAGGTTACATGTAGATCCTCGTAATCGGTTCCCCCTTTCTATCCCACCTTCCCTCTACCCTCCCAGTATCGACACTCTCATCACTGGTCCTGAAAGGATCATCTATCCTGGATTCCCTGTGTTTCTGGTTCTTATCTGTACCAGTGTACATCCTCTGGTCTAGCCAGATTTGAAGGGCAGAACTGGGATCATGAGTGAGGGGAAGCATTAAAGAACCAGAGGAAAGTTTTTTGGTGTTTTTTTGCTACACTGCACCCTGACTGGTTTCTCCTCTCCATGCCCCTTCTGTAAGGGGATATTCAGTGGCCTATAGATGGGCTTTGGGTCTCCACTGTGCACCCCCCCTCATTCACAATGATATTTTTTTTGTTCTTTGATGCCTGATACCTGATCCCTTCGATACCTTATGATCACACAGGTTGGTGTGCTTCTTCCATGGGGACTTTGTTGCTTCTGAGCTAGATGGCCGCTTGTTTATCTTCAAGTCTTTAAGACTCCAGTGGCTGTATCTTTTGATTAACAGGCACCATCAGCTTTTTTCACCACATTTACTCATGCACCCACTTCGTCTTCAACGATTGTGTCAGGAAGGTGAGCATCATGGAATGCCAGTTTAATAGTACAAAGTATTCTTGCATTGAGGGAGTACTTGAGTGGAGGCCCAATGTCCATGCAAGCAGAATTCTTATAGTGAAGAGTCCCTGGTATAAGAAGCAGAAATGCTTGGACTTTATCTGTACACACTGGGATCAACAGATAGCCACTAAAAGATGTTAAGCTAGGTAGAAGCAGTGCAGAAGACAGAATTCTTAGCAACATGGAAAAGGAGTTAAGGCACATGCTTATAGTAAACAAATGGGGTAGGAAGTGGAGAATTGTGGAATCTAAAGAACAGATGGACTGGAGATGCGTAGAAGGTGTAAATGTCGACTGTTCAGAGGGGAGAATGACTTACAGAGAAATTTGTTCCTTGAGGAAGAACAGGTTTTGTAATGGAACATGATACATTCGGTTCAGGACATGGGATTTGCAGTGTCTATGGGCAAATAGATGGAGATGACGAGGCGCTCAGAGTTTTGAGCTAAAAGTAGGGTTTGTGAGTTTCCTGTGTATATCCCACTGTCGGCCGGAGTTAAGAGCTGTGAAAGGACATGCTGCATGAAACCCTGCCCTTTTACTCAGCTATGTAAAAAGTATGTGTAGTCAAAGCTCACACAGCGAGCTGGCTTCTATTTTGACCATTTCCACATAAACTGTTCAGCAACATGATTACATTTTCACAGTGTCCATATTTTCTGCTTACTAGTATTTCTGTTTGCAGTCCTCTGGCTTCCCTACCCCCGGGTCCTCTCATCTTTATTGAAAATGTTGAGCCTGTGTCCTCATGCCGTGGTCTTGCCACACTAGGGCTCCATTCTCACGGGTATTTTTGTTCTGTGCATCACTGTGCTATTTCACTAAAGGTTAAGGGGATAGGTTGGGTTCAAGGTTTAGACTATCTCAGATTGACCGTCTGGAGGAGTCCTCTGTGGTCTCAACTGGACAAATAGGTCTGCCCTTTTTTTAAAAAAAAAGAATTTACTTTTGTGGACATTTTCTTCCATTCTATCTGGGGCCATCAATTATGAGCCCAGTCCGAACGTGGCCCTTTAAGTTAAAATTTAAAAATTTGGGAATCCAGTTCCTCAGTCACACTCACCATATCTCAAGGGCTTACAGCCACACGTGGTGAGTGCCCTCCATTGTCAATGTGGACATCCCAGACAGGGATTTCCATGACTGCAGACCCCTTCAGTGAAGAGTGCTAGAACGTGGTCCTAAAAAGTGAGCATTGATCAGGGCGAAGGGAAGAACAAAGCAGAAGAGGAAAGGAAAAGAGGTGGGTGAAAAAGGGAAATCCAGAGGGACAGTGTCACAAAAACCCAAGCAGAGACAACAATCTGCATGGAGTTGAGGCACACAGCGTCCACTTAAACTAACTTCCTCAGTTTTGTGACTAAGAGAGGCGACAGGTTACGAAGACCTCCCACGAGCAGTGTTCCAGCTTTCCAAGGAAATGAAGGCCTGTTCCTTTTGGCTCCAATTCCTCTTGTTGCTGTTACTGCGGATTTGAATTGTGCACTTTTATCAGTTTCACCCTTTGTTTATGTTTTAGCACATACTGGCTGTTACGGAGAACTGATGAATCCGCCTTTCAATATAAGGCAATTCTCAAGAAATAAAAAGTGGGGACCCAAAGTCCATCTATAGACAATTGGACATTCCCCCACAGAAGGGTTTCAAGGAAGGGACTGTTCAACCAGGGCGCAGTATAGCACTGACTAAACACATCATTCCTCTAGTTCCTGGCTTCCTCCCCCCACTACCATGACCCAGTTCTACCTTACAAATCCAGTTAGACCCAAGTACACACATTGGTACAGTGAAGAGCTCTCCTCACATGGAACTCAGGATCAAACCTTCGGGAACAGTAGTGGGAGTAGCGATATCATGAGGGTAGGGGATGGTGGAGGCAGGGGGTGGGGGAGAAGAACATATCACTGATATATACTTACCCCCCCACCCAAGGGTGACAAATAACAGAAATGTGGGTGAAGGGAGACAACAGTGTAGGACACAAAATAATAATATATCATTGATCAAGGATTCACGAAGGTAGGAAGGGGAAAAATGGGGGAGCTGATACCAAGGGCTCAAGTAGAAAGAAAGTGTTTTGGAAATGTTGATGGCAACATATATACAAGTGTGCTTACTACTACTGAATGATGGATCGTTATAAGATTTGAAAGAGCCCTCCAATAAAATGATTTTAAAAAAGAAAGAAAAAGCTTGAAAATTGAAAAGTGACTTAAAATGAGTTTTTGTTCAGTATGTCAGGTGGGCTAGGTGCTCTTAACTGGGATTGGGTTAGCTTATTTATACAATTTTTTTTTAATAATCACTATCATTCTCAACTGTAAGATCAAGGCACTGCAGAGGACAGAGGTTTACAAATCTGCTGAGGTCTCACCACTAGTGAGAAGAGACCCCTGAATTCAAACTCAGATCAGTCAGATTTCAGAATCATTGCTTCTAACCTCCACCTGCGATCCAACCTTCTAAAGTTGACTGCAAATCCAGGAACTCCCGTGCAAGGCGCAATCATCGCAATTAATCTTCAGCAGTGTAGTGCTAGAGCTGTCATTCTCTGCCTGCGCCCAAGCCAGACTCAGTCATTGCCCAGGCCTGCATACATTTTGTCCACCAAGATGCTTTATTTAGCCTTATATTCGTGAAATATAAAACACTATACTGGTGAGGTATAAAGGTAATGTTTGCATAAAACACAATTGAGCACCTCATTGTACAGTATATAGTTCTTCGTATTTTCACATCATCAGTTACATGCGCAAAATTGTAAACCCTTTGAGAGCAGATTAAATCTGACCATATCCAGGATCCTTCAGAACACAAAACTGAAATTCACAGGATTGGTAGGATTTAGTTACCAATGAAATTCAGAACCATCAATTATGTTGTAAGGAGGAGTTGAGAAAGAAAGTTTTTTCTTTTTCTACTCATATTTTTTCTTTTAATTGAAGTACAGATGAGTGATAAATCCCTCTTTTCTGAAGTCACACAAATCAAGAGGAATGTGGAACATGCTCCTTAAAAGCAACCTTCTCTAACTAATAAACAATTTGGGCCAAGGTAGCTCAACAATTTGAGATCCACGTATTTAAAGACAGCACAAAATACGTAAGATCATTAAGCTAAGTGAGCACGTTTCATCAAAGACACATTAATAGGTAGGAAATTGGTGCAGACTAAGCTAAGTTTTATAATGTTGATTTGTCTGTGCCTTAGAAAATGTTCCTATACATAATAATACTCAACCCATTACACACATAATTTAAGCAGATAAAGGTCAAGATCTCACAATCTAGGTATCTCTGAGAGAAGACTGTTTGCCTTCAACAGCTTCATCATTAATTGATACCTGAAAAATAGGATGTTGAACTTGAGCAGGGAGAAGAAAGTGTATGCTAAAACTGAATTCTTAAATACTCTTTTTCATATAATAAACGAATAATAGATTACTAACTGTATCAGTGGAAATATCTATATATTACATTATCTCTTTTAGGTAAATGCTGTGAAGTGATCTTTAAGTGTCCTGAAATGACACTATTGAAAAAGTAGATGTTGTCATCTATGTGGGTTGCAACCTGGGTGTCCACCAAGATACTCATCAATTTACTAAAAAGCTAAAAAAACCAACACAAAAGCAAACCAAGAAACTCTGATAGCATCCAAAAAAAAGCTCTTGTGAGAAAATAATTACATCATCACACAAAGTCTTTACAACATTATATTTCATAAAAGACAATGATAAAAAAGTACAAACATTGCCATGAGAAGCAAAAGAAAAAAATCATATGAGTACAAGAAACTCCTAGCATTTTTTTCATTGCATTTATGTAGAAGCCTTTTGTATCTTAATAAATAACATTATCTTAAGTACACTTCCTCTTCCTGGTAAACAACACTATGAACATTTTAGATCTCTCAACTGGCATATTTACAAACCCAAGGCAGTAAGTCAACAGTACTAATATTTATCTGAAAAGAACATAAAAGAAATAGACCATAGACAAAGGCCAAATACAATGACACAAAAGCTGCTTTTATTTGTTGGAAGTCTCCAAAAGGAGAATACTGCATTGGATTTTCCCCCCATTTTGCTTTAAAATGGATATTCATAATCTTGGTTGGAAATAAGTATAAGCAAGTTTTCAATACATAATTTTGAATTTATATAATATTGTAAACAGGTTTTTGTCACTGAACATTGTTTCACAAAATACAAACAGAAACTTATATTTAAAACAAAATCTTTAAACCCTAGCTTTGGCAAAGACATGATGCATCTACTGTGAATCAGATGGAGCTTTGCAGGGAATGCATGTGCACTCCCCCTACTGCTTTTCCACAAAGCGGCCCCTTCACCGTGGCTTCTTTCTCTAGTTCATATGTATTTTGTTCCCAAACGTATTTTGCCTACTGCTTTTCCAGAAAAAAAAGAAAAAGAAAATTACTTAGTGCCACCCCCTGGGCAATCAAAAACATATACTAGAGTCCATAATCCAGGATAAAGTGTAGGCATCTGCTTGTACAGCACTCCTTGCATCATTCCAGTGCCCCACCCCCTCCTCCAACACTGCTCATCTTGAAAGGCATACCAACCTTCCCAGTAGTGCCAAAGGGATCCTCCTAAGAAATCAATGTCTTGCACACAGGTTTCTTGAGACCAAGAAATAGGTAAGTTATTGGAGGAGGACTTCATAATTTAGGAAGATTTGGACTTAGGTGAATCGATTTGCTGACAAACGAAATAATACTATTTCTGTAGCCACACTGAACATGGTGCCTGATCCTAGGTATGTCAGACGACCTATGAGCTGAGAAGGCGGTCAATCGATGTTGATGTTTAAATCGATCACACGATCAAAAGACAGCCTGCATCTGCAGGATAGTTCTTCATAGATGGGCTCGTAAGACGGCAACGCTCTTCCACGCCTTAGGAAACATACAAGGTCAATGCTTAGAAGCAAGAACAAATTTTAGGTCTGCATTTAGGAAAGAAACAAAACACCAAAAGGCGAAAGAAAACCAAAATCCAGTAAACAGAGCCCCCAAATCAACTTTCCAATGGCCAAGAGCACCCGGGTCCCCTCCTAAATGAAAAACCGTTCAACTCAATCCAAGAAAACAGGAAACACGAGAAAGTTCTCTTGAAACTGTAAAATGTATTTCACAATGAAAAGACACCAAAATATAGGCAGCTTTCAATTAAAAAGAAGAAAAACGAGTTTCCTTAATCAGATACAGAAACAGCCCTACTTAAATATTTAAGTACTATCCAGTTAATTATGTTCCTATTCCTCATTTCCTTGATCAATACCTGTTAACATTCTCAATCCATATGTTTTCATTTGAGCAAATCAAAACAATTTTGGATGGCTATGAGCGATAAAACATGATCAGATATGAAACTTAAGTACAAAATCTCCATATTTCTGGAGACTTGATTTTTCATTATGTATTTTTTTTCTTAGTGCCATACTTTAAAAAAGTAGATGTAACATTTGGGGAAATATTCTCAGAAATAAATGTGCAAAAATTCTGTTTGGTATCCTAAAAGGGAACTATTACTTTTCTCAAAGTGACAATAATTTTAATAATTAGATGATTTGATTTGTGGTCATTTGTGTGATTAGTATTGTTGCCATAGTGAATGAGATTTCAGACTTAAACTTAGGACCTGAGATAAACATCTTTCCACATTAGGTTAGCAACAAGCCATGAGCCCAAGGTCACTCAAATATTTCTATGTGATTGATATTCTTCCTCACTAATGAAGATCTGTTTATACATCTCCATTTCTGTTTCAATTTGTGAAAATACCTTACAGTAGTTTAAGAAATCTTTGGTTAACTTTGATAATTTTCAAAGTAAGGGTGGGCATTGCTTGGGTTTGTCAGAGAAAACAAAACCCAGATTTTTAAAAATGAAGTAATATACTTGATGTCAGGCATTGGGTCTTGTTTTCAGATACATGTAATTTTATATTAAAATAGTAGTATATTTAAATAACTATGTCTTAATGCAACTTCATGACACTTTTGATGAGGGAAGTTTAATAATACAAAATGTTGATTTCTTGAAAGTCCTATATAGTTTGAATTGAATTGGCCAACTTTAAGAGCCCTTTCCAAACTTGAAATTCTATGATTCTGAGACTTAAACATTTTAATCTAATAAGCATTTATCTTCATAAAAATAGAACATTCAATCTAACACTATAATCCATTTTTATAAGTATTAGTGGGCTTTCCATAGCTCATTCTCTTAAAAAAAATATTTAAAAGAAGATCCTTTTTTTTTTTTGGCTCATCTGAACTGGAAGTAATAAAAGTGCTGTTCACTATGAAAAAAAATACAGTGTACAAATACACACAACCTTGGGAACATTGTTTTAGGCACAAAATCCCTGACACTCATACAAGAGGTACATGAAATACATTTAACATAAAGAGGTTCTTTATATAATGTCACCTCACAACTGTTAAGATTTTCTTGGTAATACTCATGCAATATGCATAAACTATATGGTTGTGATTTAGCAAATCTGATGAGATTGCAAGCAAGGAGCAAATAGACAATATTGGTAGGAAGAAAAGCTGCTTGGGTCCTTTCTTCTTACCCTTCAAAACTCTTGAGAATGTGGTGACTTCTATACAAGAGGCTGCAGGCCTATCGCTCCAAACTAGTAGAATAGTTTGCTGTATTCATTGGCTGTCAATTATTGACAGTTCCTGCATTTCACACAAGGGTTAACTTTTGTTTAGTGACTGGCTTAAGCTTATACCGTGATTCCCATGCAAAAAAAAATAAGTCTATAAAAGTCAAATAAAGGCATAACCAATTACATGCAAAACGTCTTAGTTTTTAATAATTTGAACACATCCATTTACACCACATATGTACAAAATCAGTTTGAACAGAAATAAAGCATTCTCTTGAAGTAAATTGTTTGTCGTATAAAAATCTTTTCTGTGTAGGTAGCTCTCTTAACTTCCAATCTCAAGCTGTGGTCCTTAGCTTCTGCAGTGTTCACTATGGGATATGTTTCCAAGTAGGATGGGGGAGGAAGGCTGGCTGGGCCTTGTCCCACACTGTAAACACTTCTCTTCAGTGAACAGGGAGTCGTGACACCTTCAATCCTTGACCTCCATGTAGAGAGAACTCCGAGTTTATAACCCAGGACTGTAGTTTCCCTTGCCATGAGAGCTATTTCTTTTAATAGTCTTCAATTGGAGCTAACTCTGGCATGAGGTTTATAGATATATTGGTATACAACCTATCAACCAGTATTTTTGGCGTACATATTAAATTGTTCAATCCATCAATGTACTGACGTTCTTTTGAATACCTTAGTAATTTATACCTAAGGAAGAAAAAGAAGAATATCAGAAATATGTTTTAAAAAGATGATGAGAACTAGGCTCAACATTCTCTCATAATTAAAGCTTTGAAGTTCTCTGTCAGTTTTGGTTCTCAAGCATAATTAAGTATCACTAAACCATTATTTTAAGGGACCATTTTACACACCTTAAAATGCCACCTAAACACTTACTTTGCACCCTTCTAACTTCTTGCTCTATGCCATCGAGTTGATGTCGACCTTTGTGACACTACAGGGCCGGGTAGACAGAGTAGACTGCCCTTGGGAGTTTCCAAGACTGTAACTCTTTAGGGAGAGGAAGCCCCATCTCTCTCCCAGCGTGGCTGGTGGATTCAAACCGCTGACCTTATGGTTAGCAGCCAATGAGCAACCACCACACCAGCAGGACTCCTCATCACCTAACTTAGAAAACCTTCATTAATAAAATGGTTTATGCTTTAAGGAAATACTTTTGTGTAATTCGTTTATAATATTATAATATGCTATTAACTGCCATAATGCATTCGGAGACTTTTAGTATAAACAGCATGTACGTCTACACATCCGTGCACATTTAAGTCAAAGATATTGCTCAAATGCATAGAAATATTTAATAAACAAAAATATGAAAATATGAAGCTTCTGTTTCTTGACATCTCCTCCATCTAACGCTACACACGTCTGAAGGCAGCATTTCCATCTCTCTCACCCCTCCTAAAAGAAGTGAGCACTCTTAGATTTACATCACGTCAAAATGGCAGCTTCGGTATCTTCTATGGATTCAAACTGTGATCCTTTTCAATGGTCTCTGAGTTTGGGGAATAAAAACAAGTCTGAAGGGGCAAGATGAGGGCTGTAAAGTGGGTGATGTTTCCCAGTGAAATCCTCATAGGACACCCTTCAAAGCACAAAAGTCGACATCAAAGCATGAACAAGTGCACTGTCGTGATGAAACAAACCAAATATTCCTCAGTGCCACTTCCCTGGCCTTTTTCTCACCAATGAAGTTGCCAATTTCCTAAAACTCCTTTACGCTGAGTCCTGTATCTTTAGAGAAAATATACCAAGATTAACCCTTACTCTTTGGAATCCCCCAGAATAGCTATCATAATGTTCTCAGCTGACCTCTGCCTTGAATTTAACTAGCCCAGGAGATCGCCTCAGAAGCTACTATTTTGACTGGACCTTTTTTGAAGGTCTATCCATTATATATTAAAGAGCTTTCATATCTGAAGATATCAAAAGGTTTGCTAAATGAAGATTATATTGAAACTTACCGTCCTAAAAATTGGACTTCCCCTCTATGATGATGAGGAATAGACTTGTATTTCCCCAAGTCTCCCTCTGGTCTTGTTACATTATATCCCACGTAGTGAACTCTACAACACAATACATGGAAATGGAATGTAAAGATCTAAGATTTTACTAAAAATGGATTATAAGATTAATATTTAAATACAAACAATACTCTGATGTACATGCTGCCACACATTTTAGGAGTCTTAAGGAAAAAAAGAGAGACACACGAAACAGAATCTAGGAACCTCAAACGTTTTCCACCCCAAAAGAATCCATTCTCGTAACAGGAAGACAATGTACTGAACAGAAATGAACGACACAGAAGTTCGATGATGAAGCCCTTTGTAGGTGGCTCAACATACCTATTCCATAGGTCATCATCTTCTCCGCCCCATCCCCAGAAGGCATTAGGAAATCCATTGATCCTTCGAAATTGTTCCACTGTCAGTCCACTGACACCACCAAAAAACTCCTTGTACGGAAGACTGGAAAGGGAAGGCAGGGCACAGTTTCTCAAAGTGAAATGGCAACCATTTGCCACATAAAATCTGGGATCTGCAAAATGTATCCCTATTGTCCATATAGACAATGACATTGGTTAAACCACGTACACTATAACCAAGAAACAAAAGACACTGAAATGCCAGTGAAATCAATACACCCACATGGATTCTGTTGAACATGAACCATTCATTGTAAACAAAATGTAATGGGCAGTAGTGTTATTTATAAAACCCAAGACCTGGGGTTCAAAACCATGCAGCATTTTCACATCAAAAGTAAACTTGATCAAGTGCATTAATATATGTCAATGCAATGCTAAAACCAAATGTGTCCACTGCATATGAAGCCAGTTGCTCTCAGGCTGAGTAGAATTCATGGCGGCGCCATGCATGTCAGAACAGAACTCCTCCACGGGGTTTTAAACGGCTGATGTCTTGGAAGTAGATCATGAAGCCTTTCGCTGAATTGCCTGGTGGACTTAACTCTCCTACCTTTTGGTTAGATGGTACGAAACCAGTACCTTTTTAAAAAAATTGTTGTTTGAACTTAGTTATACATGTCGTTACGTAAACTTGGAGAAATAGATATTATTAGAGACAAGCATAGCCACTAACTTGTGAAGACTTGGGCTGAATATTCCTGTAATGTTTGAAGTCATACTCTCCACAAGCGGGTATTTCTCAGTACATTTCTTTTCATGAGCTGCTACTTAGGGAATTTTCTATGTTTAAAGTGTGGATGTTGTGTTTTTTCGACCCTTCCCAAAGTCACAACTTCAAGGACGTTGTCAAAGTAGGCAATGTTTCAAAAATACATCTTTAATAATCTACTGTCGAGTGAGCATCCCTACATTTGCAGTCCTGAATAAACACCTGTGACCCAAAATATTCCTGGAAAGTGGTGTTCTTGAGCCCCTACAGAGGTCAGGTGAGTGTGCAAGACCAGTAAAGATCAGAGGACCATGCATACAACCCGGAAACCAAACTAAGAGAAATCTAACCAGAACGCTGGGAAACCTGTCTGTAAGGTGAGGAGCGAGCAAGAGATGAATCTTTTTGCTAGAAGGAAAAAAGCGCTGTTTGCCAGCTAGACTCCTGTGCAGTACACAGAACCAGGGAGAACAGCTCTTGCATGGACCTCTAGGGTTGTAGGAGACAGTGGTCTTGTCCGTAAGGTAGGCCAGAGGTACCCGAAGACAGTAACAGCCACCATGATCTCAAAGACCGCCACGCTCTCCCAGGAGACCTCGCCAGGTTCCCTTGAACACGTTAAGTTGGGAAGTTGAGTTTAGGAATACCAGTCAGGGTTAAGGTCAAGGTTCCAGAGGGTCAATTAGTGCCCTCGCCCCTATTGTCTCCAATGTCAGGAGAATTATTCTCGGCCATGTCAGTGGTTTGGGAAAAACAGGAAATCATTGCTGTTGTTAGCTGCCACTGGGTCAATTCCGACTCACAGGGCCACGGGTTCAACAAAAGGAAACACTGCCCCATCGTGCGCCATCTTCCCAACTGTGCTTTGTGTTTGAGTCCATGTTGCAGCCACTGTACCGATTCATCTTGTTGAGGGGCTTCATCATCTTCCATGCCCCTCCCCTTCACCGAGCACGATGTCCTTCTCCAGAGACTGGTCTCTCCTGACAACATGTCTACCGCACGTGAGATGAAGTCTTGCCATCCTTGCTTCCAAGGAGCACTCTGTTTATACTTATTCCAAGACAGGTTTGTTTGCTCTTTTGGCAGTCTGTGGTACTTTCAGTAATCTTTGCCAGCATCACAATTCAAATGCATTGCTTTTTCTTTGGTCTTCCTTATTCAATATCCAACTTTTGAGATCATAATGAGATATTAGATCGATATGGATAAATGCATGTGTTTACTGATGACATTCATAAATTGGTGAACACATCAATTCCATTTGTTGTTTGGTGGAAATAATCATTTGTGCTCTATCCCCAACAACAACAAAAATAAGACAAAATGAAGGTATAATAAAAAAACTGGCATATAGGAAGAGAAAGCTCAATAAGCAAAACTCTAGTAACATTTCCTTTGACGCTGCTCAAAATAGAGACTCACTACCCCTGGGGGCTTGGGCTTCCTGCCCACCAGCCAGCAGAGTGTGGGCCCCATAAGGAGGTAGGGCGATCCACTGCGGAGGAAGCACGCTCCAGTCGTCCGCTGATCTGCTTCCATTCTCTCGAAGCTTCACTCTAATTTTCAGTCAAACTCCCAAGGTATTCTACCAGTCCTGTGATTTGTCTAGATGGATATGAATATTTTTCTCACTAGAAAGCAATGTCTCCAGTGCTTAAATATTTAACCTAGAAATACTGATTTAAAGTGGGGAACCAAACCACCAAAAACAGGCGCCATTGAGTCAACTCCAACTCACGGCCACCCCGAGAGTTTCCCGTAGAACTGTGCTCCAGGGGGTTCAAGGCTGCCTTTTCCGAAGAAGCTTGTCAGGACCTTCTTCTCGGGCATGCCTGGGTAGACTTGAACTTCCAACCTTTACCAGCATTAGAAGCTGAGTGTGTTAATCTTCTGTAACATCCAGGGACTCCCACTGTTTACAAACCATTATTTGTCTTAAGTAATAGTCATTGACTCTGGCTCTAATTTGACTCCAGTGGGATGACCACAATCAAGTTTCCAGAAATGCAAAGAACCTGATCTTGAACCGTAGTGACCTCCCACAGTTAACACCGTCCTATGAGATCTGACACTGCGATCATATGGAAAGGGTTTTCTAATGAAGACAGTGGCCAACAAAAGAAGCAATCTTTTCCTGTTTTCGTGTCAGTTCACTGGGCTACATCATGGGGATTTTATGCTTCTCTCTACTCTGCTTTGCGGTTGGGGCACTCAGGAGAGCTGTGTGGAGGGAAAATTCTTCCCGGCTCCAGTCTGTTTTCTCTTTCCCCTGCTCCATGGGGGGTGAAAATTGTGACTTTGTTCCCAGGTTAGACCTGCACGCTTTCACGTCAATATAACTTCCTGCCTCACCTCCAATGATTTTAGACCTTTAAAGGTATCTCCAGCCACAGAATATGAACTGATTTGACTCTTAGTAAAGGCATGTCAAAAAATCCAGAGTTTTGGAAGAAGTAGATCTAATGCAGAAGAGAGCAGCTTCCCTGATTTATCAGAGTCCAGGGGAAAAGCACAGGGCACCAACATGCATAACATGCCAACTATGTGTCAGGCACAGAGTCCATGCAGTCCCAGAGCCCCTACAGGATGTGCTCTGCTAGAACAATGGACCAGTGTTCAGATCTAAGTTACAGATCCAGTCCTACGGCTGTCGGGGTGATGAGAACCGACATTTAAGTCCACATCTGGGTGACTACAGAAGCCAGCCTCTTTCCACCACACCACACTCAACGCTCTGTGAAACAAGTGCCTAGATGTGACGAGCGACTCCAGGCCCTGACCCTCTGGGCGGATGCCCTGGAGTTCAAGGAGATGCCCGTCAGGCTCTTGAACGTTCTCGGATTGAGGAGTCATGCTGTTACCAAGACAGTGAGGTCCTTGCAAGCATACAACACAATGCCAGGAGTAGGACACGCTACTTACATATACATGTACTTATCCAGCTTTGTGGCAAAATGGCGTGGCATTTCTCCGCATCCATAATAGTTGCGGTCATTCTCAGGCAGATGGTCCACATCGTGGAAAATCACGCAGTCCCAGGCACTGTCTTTCATGGCCTCTTTGAAGCCCACGTTGAAGAGCATTGCACGGTTGAAAGGTTGTGTGCCGGTCTTGAGAGACAGTACCCAAACACAAAAACAGAAACGCACACAGACCGTCAGCTGACCTTTTAACATGAGCTTACGACTTCTCAGTCATGGTCAGCTAATAATTATCACACCCAAGTCAACTAGACAGTGGAATACGCAGTGTAGACTTATCAAATTTATACCTGACATCATTGAATACCTTGGCAACAGACAAGAAAACACGGTAATTACCTTTCTATGAGCAATTCATCACATTTAATTACATAATTCACATTCTTGTTTTACTTCAGATACACAAGGAAACAGGCTACTCATGATGAGACAACATAAAGCATTAGGAATAGTGCAAAGTCTTAGTTTTTCAGTAAAACTTCCATCCTTTGTCAGGGCTAAGAAGCAGTTATACTTCTACAGAAAGTGAACCAAAAGAGCAGTAACCCTCTTTCTGACAGCAAAAAACCAGAGAAGCCTAACTGCGACTGCTGCTCATAATAAAGACCTTGACTATTTTTAGCAACAAAGACAGCTAGAATTTATTACAACTGAACCCAGCTTCCTTTCTGCACCTTTTCCTTTGCTGCTGGGGAAAACATATTCAAATGTGCTGGAAATCAAGTGTTTATTTCTGTATCTAAAGAAAATGAAAGAACTAAGAAACACTTCTCTTTTTGGGGGGAGTGTTTTATTTTATTTTTTTAATCATTTAATTAGGGGCTCATACAACTCTTATTATAATCCATACATACATCAATTGTGTAAAGCACATTTGTACACATTTGTACATTCATTGCCCTCATCATTCTCAAAACATTTGCTCTCCACTTCAGCCCCTGGCATCAGCTCCTCATTTTTGCCCTCCCTCCATACTCCCCCCTCCCCTATGAACCCTTGATAATCTATAAATTATTATTTTGTCCTATCTTGCCCTGTCCGACATCTCCCTTCACCCACTTTTCTGTTGTCCGTCTCCCAGGGAGGAGGTCACATGTAGATCCTTATAATCGGTTCCCTCTTTCCAACCCACGCTCCTTCTACCCTCCCAGTATCACCACTCACACCACTGGTCCTGAAGGGATCATCCGCCCTGGATTCCCTGTGAAGAAACACTTCTTAAAACCATTTCCAAACTACGAAATAAAAGCCACGGTCTGAGAAGTAAATGGGATGCACCGTGTAGTCATTGCAGACAGAAGAGCTTCCTCACAGGGGAAAGGATGATTGTTTTTCAGTCTTATGCCTGGCGCTAATTTGAAGTGATGTTAGACATCACTTTTTATTTTACCACCTGTTTTATCATAAGTGCAATGAAGAGAATAAAAGGGCATTCAATCACACGGCCATTACTGGTACATCAACATCATCCTTAAAAATCACTTTCCTTTAACTCTCCTCCACTGCTGGTGGTCATGTAGATTTGTACAGCCACTGTGGAAAGCAATCTGGAGATACCTAAAGAAAATGGAAATTGATCTACCTTATGACCCAGCCATCCCTCTACTGGGCATA